GAGCTCAGCACATACATTATTATCCGTTCTGACTTGCATACAACATTCATCAGTTTTATCTCTTGTTTAATTGGAAAATAAGCAAGACAGGTGTCTCTGCATCGCATGGTCAACTTATTTTGTTGTTTCTCATTATCTGAGCCAGTGGTCTCGCTCGATTTACGAAGGAAGACGCACGCCCCAAGCTGAGCCTTCGAGATACACCCCCACACCTGCTACCAGTGCCCACTCCTGCTCCTATTTCGTACCTTATAGAACCCAGACGTCTTTAAGTAGGATTCAACCAATTTAAAACTGTTGCCGGACGTCCCCCCCCAGTTTTCTAGTCGTCTAGGTAATGATGTTGTGGTCAACAGTGGTCAAACGCAGCAATAAGACTAATAATACTAACACTGAAGTTATGCACACTGTCTGTGTTTAAGGGGCGTGCCATGCTTTACAAGCAGTCTCATCTGTGGTTTGGTCGAAAGCCTGACTTGGAAGAAACATCGAACACAGTTTTTAACATGCACGAAAATTACTCAACTGGAAGACTATTTTTACACATGATTTTACCTAGAATGCGAGGTTTTGAATATGGGGCCTGTAGTCTGTTCAATTATTGAAGCTACTAGATTTATTCTTTTTTAAGAGCGTTTTAATGACTCTTCCCAACGGAAGTAGTCTAAACGAGCGGTATAAAAGACAGTTTTATCCAGCAGCCTATTGCACAAATATAACACATCATCAGGAGCGTGCACAGCAGCAATGCCTCTTTTTACTTTATCTACTACCTTGTACATTGTTGAATTTTTAACTGTCCCATGTGTGTATTAGTTTTGTCTTTTTAAAAAAAATTTCAAAATATTTTGAGATTGGTGAGCAGGGTAGTGCTTGTACTTTTACTGTCTTTATTACGAGATGTGGCTGTTGTTTTGTGTTTGTTGTTTATGTCAGGATGGAAGTCTTGTGTCTTTTTCTCTGCAAACGAATCTACCTACGGGTCAAATAGAATACCTGAACTGAACCTGAACCTGGACCTGCAGTTTTCAGGCCTTAAATGTTGAAGTAGATCATGAGTGCATGCAAGAATTATTTAGGTTTTAAATCGCCTGTTGGAATAATACGGAGGCAGAGGGAGGAGGATTTCAGAAGTTGATATAAGTGTCTATAGGATCCTCTTCATTAATCTGATGGAATTGGTTCAATCGGTGTTTGGAATTGATTTTAAAGTACACAGGGACAAAACCATTTGCCGTACCTGTATTGAAGAAGACCTCCTGCTCTGTCTTGAGTTTTCTGAATTTTGTCAGTGAGAAGGAGGCAAATTCAATATGCAGGGCCCTGGCGGATAGAATATGCAGAGGCTATATACCCTGACACTGTTGTTAGTCAGTCAACGGTAGCAAATAACTCACCTGTCTTGTTTTTATGTTTTTGCAAAATGAATGTCAGAGAAGAAAGACTGTTGTGCGCATTTTCAATTCCAAATTATAAAAGCCAGCCTCTCTCTTATAGATTTCAAAATGAACCTGGAGATTTGTTTTTCGCCACCTGCGTTCAGCTTTTCGACACTCTCTTTTTTCTGTTTTCACGGTCATGGCCTTTCTCCATGGAGATATTTTCTTGCAAGACACTTCCTTTACCTTAGTTGGAGCAATGGCATCTTTAAAAAAAAATCTTTTTGAATTAAAATGATCTACTAGCTCATTTACTGAGATGTTAGCAGGGGCAAAAGTGGAAGAAACATTTTGAGTAAACATTTCCCTAGTATTTTCAGTTAAATATCGCTTTGTGGTTAGATAATCAGACCCTTTGAGATAATTAAGTCCAGAGTGTGCCCCTTATTGTGCGTGGGCTCCGTCACATGCTGAGTCAGTTCATAGTTATCAAGAACACAAAACAGTTCTTTAGCCCCTCTGTCCTGGGGGTTGTCAACATGGATATTCAAATCACCAACAATGACTAGACGGTCAAAGTCAATACACACTATAGACAGCAGTTCAGTAGTCATCAAAAAAGTTTGCACAGTATTTGGGTGGTCTATCGATGTTTAGGAACAGAGCTCGAGAGGAGCATTTCAGCTGAAGGGCCACATATTCAAAAGAAGCAAAGTTCCCATAAGATGTCTTCATGCATTGAAGGGAATCATTGAAAAAAATAGCAACTCCACCTCCTTTCTTAAGCATTCTTTCCTGACTCATAAAACTGAAGTTGGGAGGTATTGATTCGATAAGAACCGCTGCACTGTTATTTTGTTCAATCCACGTTTCCATTAAAAACATAAAAACGAGATTGTGCTCAGTGATAAAATCATTGATTAAAAATGTTTTTCCTGGCAAAGACCTGACATTTAATAAAGCTAGTTTAAGTTTGTTAAATACACTATCAGTCAGATTTTTTGTGACAAGCTGTGACTGACATGGAATCACTACTAAATTTGATAAACTCACACAAACGTTTGAGCGCTTCCTGTTTCTAAGCTGATTCACTGCTCTTAATCTATTACCTATCAACACAGATATCGACAAAGCTACAGGCAGGCAGGGCCTCGGCTTGTCCTGGAGAGTTGAGAGTGCCATACGCTCTTGAGCCTGGACCCAGCACATATCAGTTAGAGTTTGCTGCATTTTGTACACACACATCCTTATCAGGCTTCGGAGACAGCAGATGCAGTCTTGAAGATGCAGGCAGTTGAATATGTTAGAGATAAAAATGTGTTCAGGCAAACTCCATCCAAGTTAAAATTGTCAATAAAATGGACATAATGGTCAGTACAGGCAGTTGAAAGCCATATGTAAGTGAACATAAACCTTCAATGCAAGGCGAGCAGTGAGTGTAAATACAGTGAATAAATACACAATTTGAGACTTATTAATTTCAACTACACATTTTATTGCAAAGAGAAATACAAAATATAAAATTATAATAATAATATGTACACTATACATTCACAGCATGGAGAGTTTTCTTCCTCTCCAAAGCCAACGGTTGACATTCCCACAAGGTGTCTCTGTTGTTCTCAATCTGTCACTCTCTAGAAACTTCACCAAGGTCTCCAAATGGAGGAGGGAGAGTTTGGTGGGTGGCCCCCCCTCTGTGCAGGGTGTGGAGGGGACCTGAGTGTGAGGAAAGGGGGGCAGTGGAGGGAAGCAGGGCCCGAGAGAGGGGGCGAGAAACTGAAGAAGGAGGTGTTGCAAGACCGAGGTGATAGGCTGGGGGGGAAGGAGAAGTGAGAGGCAAATGACGGGAAAGGAGGAGAGGTGGCGTATGTGGAGAAGGAGGGTGAGAGCCAGGGGGAGGGAGGGGGTGACAGGTAGTCGTGGCAAGGTGTGGAGCAGGCGAGAGGCTGGAACGTGGAGTGGGAAGGAAACTTAGGACACTCTTCTCTCCTCTCAGATGTGCAAATGAACTCCCCGGATAATCCATCTGGTGCTTTGGTCACGTCTGTCAATCTGGGGTTAAACTCTGCTGTGATGGTGTTGGGCTGCTGGCTCTCTGTGTGATGCTTGAGACCCTCGATCAGGCTTCTCCTCTGTGCCGGGAGGATTCTGTTCATGTAGCTGGTCAGCTGGGCCACACACTGCTGAAAGCCTGCACCCTCTATGGTGACGAGAGCAGGAGCAATGGATTCTGGGTGATGGAGAGATGCCACAGGAGTCCTCATTTGACTGTCATCTGCAGCAAAGAAACCAAAGGGAGGGATACAACTGGTTAGATTTGTTGCAATGTCACAAATGTTGACACCTTATTGTTTTTTTTGTTTGATTTACCCTTGCTGTGGTTCTTCCCATCTGTCCATGTCTGAACATATTCCACAGCCAAGTCAAGAATCTCTGCTTTCTCTATTTTAGGATTCTGAAGCCGCTGTAGGTGATAACAGCCAAACAGAGGGGAGAAATGCAATTGGTTATTGAAAAGTCATGATTATTTCAGATATGTGTAGAGGCTGGGTGTGATTTGGTTAATATGACTCACGGGATCAGACGTGTGCTTCAACAGCAAACTTCTCAGTTCACCTAGACTTTGATTTATTCGATCTCTTCTTTTCTTTTCCACAACGGGTTTCAGAACCTGGAGAGAAACAAACCACATTGTGTGAGTATGGATATGGATATATTGTTCAAAGATTACTTATTATATATTAAAATAGTATCCTTTATTTTATAGCATTTTACTTAAAGCATGCAAACAATAAAACCCAAAAGCAGCAATAATAAAATCAAATGAATTGAAACAGGAAATATATTGTAAGCTAATACAAGTAAACACGCCAACAAATCAAAAAGATATAAAACTAATTAACAAAACTTCGAAGTGGGAGTGATTCACATATTTATGTTTTTGAGTTCAGCTATTGATAAGAAAAATGTGGATTGCCAGGTTGTAATAATCTTATTGGTTATCATTAGGGTAATTTTTTTGTAATTCACAAAAGAATATAAATTAATAAAATAAGATAAAATGCTTTTACAAACAAACAAATTTAAAAGAAAATATGCAATGAAAACATACATATAAATCAAATGTTAGTTCTTTTTTATAAATGACCTGTAAACCCCAAACTAGTATTCATTCATGCCTGTTACATAAAGTATTGTTAAATGATAATTAGCATGAAAAAAAACGTGTTAATGGGGGCCTTAGTAGAAAAACATTAATTAAATAAGTAATATTATTTATAAGTTCTTACCCTTTTCCTACTCTTCCCATCCTCCAGGCTTGTGTTCTGTAGTTTCCTGGTCATGTTGCAGAGTTGGGTCCTCACGTCCTGACTGAAGGCTGAAGCGGCTTTAACAGCCTCCTGGCGCGTGAGCATGGGTATAAGTAGAGCTCGTGCTGCCTCTGATTGGCTGACAAGTGTGAGTGACGACACCTAAACGAAAATGCTCTCTAACGTTTTCACGGCCCGTGGATAAATTCGAAACTATGCACTTTAAACACTAATCAGAAAGTGGGGTGTCTCAAAGTTTCAAGTTAAAAGTATATTATTCAAAGTTAATTGAATAATAATCAATATCTAAGGAAATCCTATTACCAGTAGGCTAACATATACTTTTAAAGGTTAACATCTGACCGGCATATATGCTGGAACTAATCATCTAAATCACTCATTAATAGTTTCTTTTAAATGTAACAAACACTTCTTTCATTTAGTATTAGCCTATAACCATCTTATTGCCATGTGATATTGAAACTTTAGTCTGGAGGTTATCTTTGCATCCATTAATATAATTATGCTAAATGTGTGTTGTAAGCTTTCTGGTAACTTTTGACGCCTTCCAAAGGTGAGGCCCTGGGAAACTTGCTTCTTTCTCGTGGGAACAGAAATGAAGTGAGAAAGTGAGCAGCTATGAGCACTTTTTATGATGTGTGAGACATCCACACGTTGAATAAGTGATGAGAAAAAAGAGCAAATGAGGTCCTAATGAATAATCAAGTCCGTTTCAATAAAACAGCACTGGTTCCAAAAGCACATATTTTAACTGCAAATACAATAGGCCTACTTTAATTTAAGCAGATAAAATCCAAATGAATGTATAGCTGATGAACTAGAATGGGGTTCCACGGGGCCAAAAGGGAGCAGGTCCGTATGTTTCTGCTGAAGTGTGAGGATGATCATTACACATGAGTGTTAAGTGTGCTGTGCCTTGGTCAGCTTGATAGGCTACCTCATGTTTGGACTTCACACGAGATCCCTTTAAAATCAAAGCAGATGTTGACCTGAGTGCATGTTCCCAGCGAAGCCCTCCGTTTGATTCCAGCGCTTTTGTCACCGACACACCCCAAAGGTTACGATATTAGAAGGGACAGGTCCATTTCTCCGAAACCAAAGGGCACGTTTATTTCCAAACTAGCCTAATTAGTTTCCATCACAGGCTCAGGCAAGCACGTTATTGTTGCATGCTTATTAAGGGGGCGGGTGCACGTGGCTTAAATAATTTTCTCAAAAGTGTAATATTAAAATATATGGAGGTACAATAATCGAAGTTAGCTGAACTTAATATCCATTCCGTGAGTTTTTCCTCGTTTTTAGCCAAAATCTCAACTCTTATGGCGAAACAAAGGATTCAAAATAGATAAATTTTTTAAAACGAAGAATTTAATCTAACTCATTCATATGCAATAACGAAGCTAATACATTCTAACTTCACATTTAAATACATTGCAGTCTACAGAAAAAGGTAACTACTATATTGTAAATTGCATGGTAAAAAAAAAAATGAATAAAGTGAATTTCCATGGTAACCAGCCGTGATCTGTGAGCCTGCACTAATCGCCCTCTCTTTGATTTAAAACGGAAGTAGGCCTATCATTGCCTCTGAAAAGCCTCTTTAATCTACGGGATCCCCGTGATCCGATCAACCCAGTGTTATCCCCTCACTTTAGCCTATTATGGGGATCAAGGGGCCATAAATGCAGTGCGCAGAAAGCTACCCCAAAGTCAGCAAAGCCCCCCAACTTCGGTCTGAAATAATGCACGTTAGAAATTAGCCTACTACTAATAGGCTACTGGATGTTTATGCAAAGATCGTGTCCAGTCAGGAGTTTTCCCACCACAGCCTCTAAAGATAAACACAGCAGCCTTCAGGTGTGAATGAGGCAGTTTGGCTCTATGGCACCAGGTCCTAACGGGAGAGGTGTGGATGCCTTCACATCAACATGCAGGAGAAGTTTACCCAGTTTTCTCAGACAGGAGAAAAAACGTTTTTTTTTTTATGTCGTATTTGTAAATCAACTGTATTTTTGGGCTTTTTTCTCACACAATGAATCAAGTTAGGACAAAAAGACACAAAACAAGGAGATAAACCAACATTACAAACAAAGGGGGATATAAAGTAGAAACAAATAAAAAAGGAAAGCTTAATTGAGATGAATAGTAAACAAAAAATAAATATAATACACACATAATACAAAATAACAAGCTACATTATAAATTGAACTGAAGAAAAATGGTGTATGTCTCCAAAAAAATAGAATGAGACAATTATATTTTAGCAATATTTTGTATTTTCTGCATTAGCTTACAACCAGTTTAAAATGTATGTGAAGTGCAATCCAAGCAATGAAACTAAACCAGTTCAACACATTTTATATTTACCTCCTATTTTATTCAATATAAGGTAGATTTTCGATGACATTTAAAAAAAATAAAGAATACAACTATTTCATGTGAATGAATCATGAAGGATAAAATTACAAATTGTGATTCGGGTGAATTTACCCAGTTTACAGGATAAAGAAACCAAACTGTAACCTTTTTCAACCCACATGGCACCCCCCCTAAAAGAATATGTTTGGCTTAGAAGTTAAAATAAGAGGATTATAGATTTAAATACATTCAAAGGGACCTCAGTGTCAAGGCCGCGTGCTGCTGGATGGATGAGAGGCGTGTCCCGTGGGGGCGGGGACACCTGCAGGGATATCAACAAACTGCAAAGGGATAGTACCACTTTTCGTTTTGGATTCAAAGCAAGAACCAACTGTGTCGCCGTCAGTGATGACGGCTTTAACTTCACCAGAGTCTCCCAGGCAGAGGAGTAACAGAAGGGTAAGCGTTTGCATCATGTGCGCAGTTTCAGAATGAAAAAAAACGATCTAAAACGTTTTGTTCAGAGTTGTAAATTGCAATATTTGTAATCCTTAGATCTCCAAACCCGTGATGGAGAAACGCAGACGTGAGCGGATCAACAGCAGCCTGGAGACATTACGAATTCTGATGCTGGAAAACTTCCATGATGATGTAAGCTTGTGCGCCATGCTTGTATTTAAGTTTGATATCTTATAAAATATGAATGTATCAAAGTCTAAACTTCCTATTGATTGTCTTCTTCTTTTAGAGACTGAAAAATCCAAAGGTGGAGAAGGCAGAGATTCTGGAGAGTGTGGTGAACTTCCTGCAGTCAGAGGTGGAGATGGACAAGGGTCACCGGGCCATGAACAGAGTCCTGACCCGGGAGCAAAGGCCGACCCCCGGCCGCCAGCACAACTACCGAGACGGCATGAGGTCCTGCCTGCAGAGGGTCAGCTACTTCATCTCCAGCAAGAGCCAGGAATTAGACCAGACCGATGAGGGGACAGGTCTGGCTCCCCAACCCCAGAGACACCCTGCATCTCCCGGACACATCCTCAAAACACAGGCCTCTCGGTCTCCTCATCCGGTCCACCATCATAGCCAACACGCTCACCCATCATTCTGCACCGAGAGGACCAGCATGCACTGCGACACCCGGGAGCTGTTCTCCTCCGCCGCAGACTGTGCGCACATCCCGGACCCTGTGTGGAGGCCCTGGCCGCAGAAACAGACTCTTTGACTCAGATTATATTTTTAAAAGATGGCAACAGACTGTGTAAATATGTATTTTGTTGTACAGCCTGCAATCTTTTGTACATTGATGATATTTTCCATGAAAACAAATGATCCCATTTAAGGATCCACATGTGGCGTTTTTTTTGCCGTAAGATTTACTTTTTGGCATGCGCGTCATATTATCCTTTTTTTTTGTTGATAAATATGATATGTTTTTACGCAGCAGTGTCCACACATGTTTTGTTTATATGAGATGAGCCTACTTATGTTTGATGTTGCTTAAACACGTGCGTAAAATGCGCAAAAGCAACTTGGGTGCCATTATATTTTTTCTTTTCTTTGCTCTGATATTGTACATATAAGAGACATGGAGTTTATTCTATGATTGTGCTTGCTGAATTGTCTGTTCCCAATTTCAATAAAGCACACCTTCCTGATCATTCCAAAAATAATCGAGTGGCCTCTTTGCTGAGTGAATAGCTTGTACTTGAACCAGAGGAGTGGCACATCCACAGGACAGTTAGCACATACTTTAGCCGGGCTGGACAACAGTTATGACACATTTGTCTTTTGATATGTTGATGGTGGGGGGCCGGCTGCTTCTATGATCTGAAGTGCCGTTTTTAAAAGGTAGAAAAGCACAGGAGAGTGGTCATTCACACACTGTCTAGCAGCCAGACTGCTTCAGGTAAGACATCCAATTTACAAAGCGAACGTTGGACGTCCAACCTTGTTATCCAGAACAATTAGTGTGCCCAACTCAAAGGTACATGTTTAAATTCAACCCAATAATGCATATATTATATTGGATATACATTGTGTGGCACGCGTTGCTATAAAATAGAAAGGTTACAAAATAGGCTACGCGGCACACCATGCATGATCAGAAAAACAGATGCTGTGTTTAACCAGGAACACGTGCTGAGTTATTTTCTTTAGCACCTACTCAAAATGTTCAGGTGCAGACTCACACTAGTCGTGATGGAAAGCACAATAACAGCAGCTGGTGGTGGTGGGGGGATGCTAAACCAAATCCGCGTAAAACCTCAGGAATATGTATTACACATTTTAAATAACCAAACAAAACAAATTGCGGATGAAAATGTGAGATTCAGTTTGATTAAGCAAACTATTTCAACGTGATCATTCAATTTATAATGATATCAAAACGCACGATACAGATCCAACTGTAGGGGTAGGCTAGTGTACAGATGACAAGATATTTAAATATACGTTGGGTCTGCTTGCTGAGTTTCCAAATCATTCTCTAAAGTGTTGTAGATGAAAGAGTCTGCATCCTGAACAGTGTGTTAATGGCCACTGTCGTGTGCTATTCTGCATTTAAAAAGACTGCACTACAAGTACAGGCTGTCGCTTATCGGCATACAAATGCACACTTGAAGGTCTAATAATTGTTCACCATCGTTGGCTAAGTATCCCAAAGATCAGAAGGCAGGATAGCATTTTAACCCCTCACGAAAACAATTGACTTATGGTGGCTTAATTGTTGTAGTAAATAGGGAAATTAAGATAAAACAAATTATTGTTATTTGGGATACATTTGAGGACATGTTGAACAGCTTTAAACTGCATGAAGAACATTTACAATATCACTATTTTTCAATTTTAGATCTGTATTTATTTTTATTTGAATTTGTTCATGTGAGTATATTTTTTGAACTATACACTTTATACGTATTATACACACATTCCTCCAAAGCTTGTTTGAAAGCATTCTTTATCAAAGCAGGTGTTAGTCTCGCAGCGCTGATCTCTGGACAGGATGCTCTTTTGTGAGCTTTAAAGCTTAAACCCCCGAAGAAAAGGGACACAGGACTAAATCAATCTATTAAAGCTGGAAACAGATTAGGGATTCATGTGAGACTGCTCTCTCTAGATGAAGATTAAATTAATGTATTGTCAGTGTTAAAGATTACTCCAATGCAGATGTATCTAGCTACTTAGGTCTTTGTTTATTTTATAAAATGTAGGATATCTGAATGACCTGAAATTTCAAGGGATTTCTTTCCCACCACCCTGATCAACATTTCAATCGGCAGTTATGTCGCTGTTGGTTTTTGCTACTTTAGCGTGAACTCAATAAATGCAAAGCGATAAATCTCCTTTTGGCCACGTCAACTAACCATTTGATGACTGCAGTTCACATAACGAGACCTCATCTAAATATATGTTTTGGTTACAACCATAAACAAAGTTTGAGTTTGTATCGAGTTTATAAGTTTCTGTTAGTAGTTTATTTTTTGGGCAAGAGAGCTTCAAAGTTGCAGTCCTATGTGAAAACTCACCTATTTGACACGTTTATAAGTGCCTTTATAGCTGCATAGGCATACCTATGTACATGCTTAAGTTCAGTTAATATTTTAAACCGAATGTTTAGGTTACATTCCCATGGCCACGTGTCGGCCCGTTTCACAACCAAAGTCCGGATGTTATGAAAGCCCCACGCCTCAGGTGTTAATGGGTTGCTGCCACCCATGCGCCAGAGGTGACAGGCTCGCGCACTATAACAGTTTTTTGTAAGGGAGTATTATTACTGCGCATCTGAGTCTGGTATCAGGAATCTGTGGCAACAATTCAAAACATGCCATAAAACATGTTTATGTAAGCTTGTGCAGCACAGCCATATTATATGACGAATTTAAAACTCAAACACAGTTCAATATCCCTAATTTTAAAACAACTTCCACTTAAGGACAGTCATATAATTGTTTGCATAAATTAAGCTTAATGTTACTGAAATTACATTCAGGAATCAGGATGCATTTAAAACGTGAAAGCCAGACGCCGAGTGTGCAGGTTGAAAACAAGACATGTTATTGTTAGCTTGTAGGGTAGCCAGCATAGGTGTATTGTAGCCAATTCTGCACGTGTCATGCTGGTTGAAATAAGTTGTGTTTAATATTTAATTTGTCGAGTATGAAAGTCTTTATGTAGAAAGTCTATGATGAAATATATGACAGTTTTTGTATCCGGTCTACTTCCTAACATAAATGTAAAATCAAAGGCTAGTGTATTAGGTGGAAAACATGCCATGTTGTTTACGGTTAGCTAGCACAGCCTTTGTGAAGCCTCTACATAGCCTACTTATGCTACAAATGTTGAACGTCTCATGCTGTGATTTTTTCTATGGTGTATGAAACTAAATAGTACAGTTCAGCCTTCACAGCTGTATCTCTAAATGGGCTACTTCTAAACTGAAATCTAAAGCTTACCATAGTTTGTTTGCCCTGTATTAGCATTTGGCTCTAATGGGTTTTGGTTCAGACTTTGTATTTGATTATTCATGTTGCCTAAATCCTCCGCTGGTGGTAAACTGCGGGGGAAAGCACATTCATTAATGTGAACAAAGCTGCACCGCTGTGCTTTGTGTCTGTGCTGCGAGCTGTGGGGCGGGTCGGAGGCTGTGAGACATCTGCCGCTGCCTCCGACCTCCCCGGCAATTACACCCTGTGTTCCGCAAAGAAACACACAGCGAGACGGGTCTGTGGACTCAGCTAAACGGGACACAACAGGTGAATAAGGTGTATTGTTTTACTAATACCGTAGATAATTCCAGGAAACCTTTAAGCCAAAAGCCAATTATTGTTTTAATTTCAAGTTTTCTATATTGTATGCTTAAATATGCAAATGAGTAGTATTCATACTTTACCTATAGAGAAGGCTGCTAATACACACTGGAAAACTCTGTTACAAGTAAAAGTCCGCATACAAAAATCTAACTTATGTAAAAGTACTTGGTAACATGTATTTAAAGTATTGGCTACAAGTAGCCTACCTAATGTGGAAGAATCTAAAATAAACACAAACAAACATGAAAATGTACAATGATTCAAAATAAATGACTACTATCTCAATCTTTCAAAAAAGCTATTCTTAAATCAACTAATTGTTGGCTAGTTTAATTTATAACATCTTATTTTATAAACTCAAACATTTTAATGAACATTTAAAGTAACAATACATCGTTATGATGTAGAATATTTGACAAAAATGATAGTGGTATTGATGTATAAATTGTAAGGAAAAGAAACTACTGAAGTACAAGTACATTGGCACTTAGGTACTGTACCATACTGGAGTAAATGTACATTCCACCGTTGCAATTGAGGCTTGGTGTTAAATTAAATAATTTGCATAGATGACAGTTAAAGCCTCTCATAAGTATTCTTACTTATGAAGATATCTTACTTATGAAGATAACCAAAATGTAATAACATGAACAGGAGTAGGCTATTAATGATGTATAACCCAACCCTTCTGTAAAAAACCTTTAGAATATAAATGAAGAAAGAGGAGAGTCTGATGTATGCAAGTGATACTGAAATGGAGATTTATCTCAGAATGAGAGAAACAAAATATGACTGACATATAAAACATATCAACTAAGTGCAGTAAAATGAACCCCTTAATGTGTGTTTTTGCTTGTCTGAAAGAAGACATGTTATGGAAGCAAAATAGCCAACACTCTCAAAGTTGACATGTGCAATCAATTTAAAACTAAGTTATGACATTTCATGAAAAAAACGTTTATTAGCAACAAGGGAAAGTCACTGTAATAACAAATTAATGACAAGACACAAGCAGAATTTACTCAACCTTATGTTGAATCTTTTACATTATACCATGACTAAGCCATCCGTGTGTGTTTGCAGTGTGTTTGCAGTGTGTGAGCATGCAGCTGGGTCACGTGGTCAGACTTTGCCGACAGCCATGCCCTGCGCTTTCTGAAACTCCTGCTGTAAACCAGACAAGAGTTCTCGATGCTGGTCAGATTTCTTTTCCAGGTCTTTCAGGAGTGTTTCGTACCTTTGACTGTTAGATGACAAAAGAGAAAGAAAATATACATCTGTTACCAAAAATATCACACCCAATTGAATCATATTTGACCATATTTGTGTACACTGAGTATTTCAACACAATATATGATGCACACCTTTCTGTATTTAAAATGTTTTCACTCCATTCCTTAGTAGGGATATTTCTATTTCGGATAATAATATTTTGACATTATCAATAGACACTATCACAAACACAGGAGAACTAGTATTATTTGTAGAAGACATTTGTTTTGGTCATAAGAGAAAATCTTCCCCCCAAAAGATGACCATGAAATACACCGTAAGCGGAAAGCAAGACAAATAAATACTCAGGAGAGAATGAAACTTGTCATACCTAAACTTTTTACACAGCACAGCCATTCTTTAAATTGCAAAACAAACTTCACATTTAAAATTCCTTGTAAAAGCAATGGGTATTAGAAATTGTGGAATCCTAACGTGATCATTAAGTTGATTTAACTATCCTCTCAAGTTTCTTTTTCTCTTTTTTCCCCCTGTTGGGGCACAATGAGCAATCAACGACATACACATAGTTCTCCTGATTCCCAGGGACAGAAGGATGTTGTAGTGATGATCATTCCACCATTCAAACTCATTACTGCCCTCTAGGGCTGTACCCGAATATTCGACTATTCGAATATTCGTTCGTTGGCCAACTATTCGGGTTTCAATTTCATTATTCGGATATTCGTTTTTTAATTTATTTTTTCAAAAAAAAAAAAAAAAAAAATTCTAAATGTATGCTATTAATAAAGGCGAATTGCCATATTCTTATACTATATTTATACTTTTGAATTGCAATGTTAAAATGCGGAAATATATACAATCTCAGCCTGTGCTCCTGACATCGCGTTCACTACAGTCACGAACGCAAACGGCACGCTTCACCTCGCTTCACCCACAAAATGCCGAAGACTTCAGCTGTGTGGGACCGTTTTAAATTGGACGACGGTAAGAAGAATATGTGCCAAATATGAAATAAGAAACTGGCCTACCACGGTGGCACAACAACTCTGAAAAGTCACCTGGATGCTGCTTACAGCATCCAGGTGACTTTTCAGAGTTGTTGTGCCACCGTGGTAGGCCAGTTTCTTATTTCATATTTGGCACATATTCTTCTTACCGTCGTCCAATTTAAANCTCCCTCTGGAGGGAAAAACTTTGGGATTTTAGCCTTTGCAGACCATTTACAGCACCCAAAACTATATAATGTAACCACTACAGAAAGGGGAGAAAGTCCAAAAAGAATAATAGGGCCCTTTGGATACGTTGAATACATTTGCTATTCATACTAATCTGATTATCTTACTATTTGCCCTGTGATCCATCAAAAAGGAGCTGTGTCCAAGCTGTGTACACAGGGAGACACCCCTCCTTGTTGTGTTCGGGGTCAAATTGGGGACCGATTATACTTTCATCAATCATAAACTTTTTGTTTTTTACATTCGATTGCATTAAGGCTTTTATGATATCCCAGTAGACATTTGAACATATAAATTGCTGATCACCACTTTCATTGGAATTTTTGATGATTGAGTCAACTTTGTGACACCCATGGGTTCCCGGTCATAAAGAAAAGGAATTAGTAACCATACCGGGGGGATCAGATAAAACACACACACACACACACACAAACACACACAACACAACACACACCACCCACACACACACACACACACAACACACACACACACACACACACACACACACACACACACACACACACACACACACACACACACACACACACACACACACACACACACACACGCACACACACACTAGATGTGTTCCCCCCCTTATGGGCCCATCCCCCCACATGGATCACACCTGGCACACGCAATACATGTTCAGTGTCTATTCTTTGTATATTTACTGCAGTGTTGCATGTATACCAGTAGTCATACAATATTTACAGTTTGAAAGGGTGTTAAATGAAATTTGGTGATAATTAATGGTTTTTATGTTAATGTATTAAAACAGGACCGGTCAAATTTGACCACGAACACCAAAGTAAGGGGGGGGGGAAACGAACACAACAGGAGGGTTAAAAAGACACGATTGCCTACTATGGTCTTGAAGAGGATTACATTTGGTTTGGACTCAGTCTTGACTGGACTGGGTCTGTTCTTGGAATGACTTAAACCTGATTAGACGGTGGTGACTAAAGTTCTGCTCATTGTATCATGATACAGAAACAATCCCTAAAGGAGCTATTGAAAAAAGAAAGACTTGCTGCCTATCCTTTTATTGGTGGCACAAAATAACAACTCTATTTTGGCTCAAAGCACCGCCACCAATCGTACATTAAGAGAGCTTAATAGGAATTAATTGAATAGATAAACATTGCAGCAGACCTCAAAGTAAAATATATTTTAAACAATGGGCTTCAGTAATTTTTTATGTAATAATGTGCCTTACTAATTTGTGAATTTGGCCAAAACTAACAGCTGCTTCTGTTTTGTTTTATGTGTTCCTCACACCATTATACAGCTTTGTTGAACCATTTTTTTAATCTTTTATTCACAAAGCTGTTAATATTTTCTTTTTCAATGTTCGGAATAAGCAGCTGTTGGTAGTTCAAATGCACATATAAACATTTTGTTCTCAAAAACATACATGTGTGTTCTCACTCGCTTACTTGCACAAGCACAGCACTGCAGACAGGCAAACATTCACACATATACATATACACATTGTGACACACAGTTGCTAGCCAATCAGATGAGTCAGAAAGCCTCCTCTAGAGGACAAACAGCTGATCTGGGTTCATCTGCTGAGTTCATATGCCAGCTGGAAATAGCACATGGTGCTCGCAAACACACACAAACCAAAACAAAGGGGGTCGAAATGCAGATAATTATATTAGTATGATGTAGGTGTGATTTGTCAAAATCTGCAGCAGCAACAAAATCCTTTTCCTGCCTACCAACATGTTTACAGTAACTGCAGGAAATATAAAAACTGACCTGACGCTTAAGTATGCCATGTATTGTAATAAGAGTCAAACTAATTACAGGTCTCCCTTGAAAAAGAGATCAATGATCTCAATGGGACCTACCTGGTTAAATAAAGGTTTGAAAATAAATCCTAGCCTGCGTGCAACTGAAATAAACATAAAGTACATTTTGCACGAGTAAAGTCACAAGTGTCTCAGAGTGTAATCAAGGCATTAGCCCCTGCTAGATTCCCCTGGGAGATTTGCTGAGTTTGGAGCAAGATATTTTATTATAGCTTAACCATATAGTTGAAATCCACCACAATGGCAGGCTGCACTTGTGTGTTTCCTGTAAATATTGTCCTTCCTGCTGCAAAGGAACTTAATATTGAGCAGTATTTGCTGAGCCAGGGCCTTGCCTGCATATCTCCCATATCTCTTTCTTTCAAAAGCGCTTCATAACACAAATTTGTCGATTGTCAACAGTCTGTTTTTTTTCCCCACAGTCTGGTAGAGATAATAAGATTACTGCATGAAGGCAGCATGCACACAACATCCTAAAACCTGCTGTGAGATTCTGAAATTGCATCAGCTAAAGGCTTTTTCATATTTGTAGGTCTTCTTTAAGTTGAATGAGAGCATTTTTCAGGATATTTACTGCACAGTAGCACCGCAAAAAAGTGCTAGGTTTGGATTTCTGGTTCTGTTTTGGATATGGGGAATAACGACAGTAAACGATTGTAATTGCTTATCTGTTATCTTATCCTCCTGTTATAGAAGCCATTCCTAAACTCATGGCTGTGTCCTATCCTATCTTTGTCCTCCTCTTAACCTCAAAGATTATAAAAGTAAATGTAATTCTTCCAATAGCACTCGTCCAGTTATGCAGCATTGATGTTAAGACTGTAGGTTATTCAAGATGGACATGCAATATATCAATGGCTCTCACTTGTCACTGGCTAGCTTGCTATCATTGAGAACAAATATGTCAGAAGCACTTATGTTGTAGGAGGAGAGGTACTCTTTAAATAAAAAATAAAAAGCAAAGCTCAATCTGCTCTCAACTCAGAATCAAACGTCCCACTGAGGCGGAATGCCTTTACACAATCGGCTTTCTCATTTACACCCATCACTCATTGGAATAAGGTTCCTGCTGAGCATAATACGTGCACAGCCTTTCGCAATTTTTCCCATATTTCCCCCAAAAATGTATATTGAGCAACTAGTGTTGTTGTTATCATTTTGACAATGATTCAGGTTTTTTATTTAATTGAATTGTAATATTATAATTGTACTGGATGGATGTGCTGGTGTTTAGACTTTGATGTGTGCTTGTAGATGTGTCTGTGTGATTGTTAGAGTGTTAGAAACTCTGTAATGGTGTTGCATGTTAATGAATGTTTTTAGTGTCTGTTAATTGTTCTGTGTGCACCCTCAGGGACTGCAGATAGAAATAAGCCTACAGTTTAATCTGGCATTAATCATCTCTTCCCTTTTATAATAATGACCAATAATAATAATACTAATATAATGCCGTTTGAGTAGTCTTTAAATCATTTTGTTGTTTCTGTTGTTTCCCATATTCATTGTCATTGCCAAACAGTTATTTTGAATTTAGGCTGGCTTTATGGCATCTTAAATAAAGGCTATATTCCTATCCTTAGATATTCTTCTCAAAATGTAATAAAAAAACGACACCCTAAACTGAGATAAGACAGAACATTTATTTATTTAATGACGCCACTGGTTAAGAACTCTTATTCGCCGTCTTACTGTGTTATGTGATACTGCATCAACATTTATTTTGTATCAATGTTGTCATAACTATTTTGGTTATTTCACTTGAGATATGTCTGTGTTTTGCCTGTGCTCTTATCACTACATTTTGAATAAGTAGAGCAATAAATAATAATCAGAAACCTGAACTTTAACTTGGATTTTCTTACAAGGACATAATGTGTAATTTTTAGAAGAGTACAATTGATAATAATGTTTTCATTGGCTTTAAGATCCAACTGCTTTACCAATATATTATT